AAAACCCAAAAATTAAGAAAAAGAAAATTCCATGCCATTTCCAAACCGTGTGCCTGCAGTGCAAGTCAATGCCAAAAGGAAGAATAGTCAATTCCAAACATTACGAGGAGAATTTATCATATATAGTCAAAATTTAGCATCCAATTTCATAAATTTATTTTATCCACTCTTCATTTCTGTTGCAGTCACCACAGTCGATGTGCAAACCTTGCATTTTATCTGGGTTTTACATGTAGTTTTGCGTTTGGGAGCTGAGAAAATGTAAGAAAAGCCAAGACTTTTTTACTTTCTGATTTATCCCTTGGAGAGAACGAGAAGAAAGATAGGCTTTTGGATCTGTTTGTGGCCTCAGCTGGGTTCTTCAACCCAAACGAATGGTGGGTTTCTCTTTACAGTTGCTATGCTTCTGAAAAAAAATATGGAAATATCATATTCTGACCAATCCAAATACTCTTATTCCGTTGGTTTTAGTTTCTGTTCTGCAGAGGGATACTTCAAGTTTGAAATATTAGCAAAACCCAAGTGCAATTGGATTGCAAATTTGTAAGGTAATTAATGTTGAAGCAAATTCTTCTTCTTCTTCTTCTTCTGCAATTTCAATTTTGGTGCCGCCTAGGTTGACTTTTTAATTTGAAAGTTGGTCAAAACGATAGATGTCTTCTGTTTTGTTTGTCTTATAATTGAGTGCAATGACAATCAGAAGGATAGTTGACTACACAATCAAATTTCCTTGGCTGACAAATAATTTCTTTCCAAATTCCTATCATGAAACCATGTTTCTAATTCTAGCCTCTGCTAGTTGCTAAGCTGCCATGAGCTGAATTGTAGCATTTGATTATCGAATTCCGATTTTAGGCCTAAAGTACTGAGGGATGCAGGAACTTTCGTGTTAATGCGGAGTTGGGTCCATTTTCCTTGAATTACTTTAGTAGTTGGTGTAAGTATTGATAATCGATTGAACTGAAGGACTCGGCTAGAGAACTGAACTTCTGATTGATCTTATAGGGCATAAGAGTCTATGGAATTACTCGGTGCAGTCCCAGACCTTACTGTGTCGGGGTATCTCTCTAGTGTTTCCCCTGAACTTCTGGCAGTTCAGATGGGTAGGATTTTTATTTGTTTTGTCTTTTGATGCCTTAAGTAAGGAGCGTTGAATGTTTCATAGAAAACAGGTGTAGGCTATAGTTAAAACTTATCATGTGGTACGGAGGATGTGCAAACTTCTTTTTACTGGTTATTTTTTTGAAGAGATTTCCTTTTTCAAAAAGTCCCTTCTGGATTTTTCCGATATGTAGGTTGTAAAAGCTATGAAGCAACTACTCAAAACTTTGCTACTGAAATTACAGTGAGTTTCAGTAAGCACGTGGCTAGCGCATATGCAAGCATCTTTAATCATAGTTTACACAATGATTTACAATGCTGCGGGTATTCATCTATACCAGTTGCTAGATAGTACATGTAGATTAAAGAGGCCACCTTGATTTGCAATTTGAGTTTATAAGTTTCACTTTTTTTTAGAGTTTCTTCTTATCTAAGTGAATAATGACTAATGCATTCCTGATTACTCATCTGTCTTCCTCCTAAATCTAACAGATAATGCAGTTGTAGTTACATCACAAAAAGTTTATGCTTGCTTGTGTACTTTGACAGGGCAACGATTTTGATCGATTGGTGATATTGGCCAACATAAAAAGCTGGTGATGTCTTGTTTCTCTTGCTTGTTTAAAAAGAAGGAAGCTCCATTTGTTAGTCGGCCTGTTGAAATCGACAAAGGTAGACTGTGCACGTGTTTATTCTGTCGTTCCTTTTATAGAGATTATGCACATACTTTCAGTGTCAATATTAGTTACTTAGGCACAATGCTATCTGTCAAATTAGCTGCTCAGTGCAATTGTGAAATGGATGGAGGACTTTTCTAGTTCATACATGGATCTTCAAATGGGAGGAGCATTTTCTATGTTAAGCACTTTAATTTCATTACCGTTACTGATTTATGAACCCGTTTTAAGTCTGCGACTACTTAAAGCCCAAACTACCAATTTGCTTCCATTCAGATAATCATTCTTTTTTATGGATGACCAGGCTTCTTTCAGAACTTGGACAACCTGGCCTTTTCAGGAAGTCAAATGGTCATGCTAAATCAACTACTTATGTTTTATTTGATTTTGCTTTTTATTACGCACTCAATATTTTTTTTGGATGAAATCTTCTTTTGTTTACTTTGTTCAATGTACATGCTGTTGAACTAAATGCTGTTAGTAAGTCTTAGCTTTAACTTGAATTTGGTTGTCATCATTTTGAACAAAATGGGACCTAACTTCTGTTAGAGGTTTACCATTCTATCTTCATCTACCAAAAGGAGTCTAATAGATTCCTGTGGGTACAGTGGTTTCAGGCGCTTTGAATGTCAAACAGTACACTTACAAGGAACTGCAAATTGCCACTGAGAACTTCTGTAAAGAAAATAAAATTGGTCAGGGAGGCTTTGGCTCCGTGTACAAGGTAATTGCTCCTAAAGTTATTTGCTTATGAGTTTTGAGGAATACTCGGTCTTTGAGTACTTAATTGTGCTAAAGACTTTTTTGTTTACCTTTACCTCTACGGGCTAAGAAATTATTTCAAAATGTGTTTGATCAGGGAACACTCAAGGATGGCACTTTGGCGGCTATAAAAGTATTGTCAACAGAGTCTAGTCAAGGGTCTGAGGAATTTTTGACAGAAATCGAGGTGATTGCAACCGTTGAACATGATAACCTAGTTAAGCTATATGGTTGCTGTGCAGAAGGAGATCACAGAATATTGGTTTATGGCTATCTCGAGAATAATAGCCTAGCACAAACACTTCTTGGTAAGCAATGTTACTTGTTCCTTATTTGAATGAATGATTTTGTATTGGAAAGGACTTCATCCTTCTGTACTTTATAGGTAGAGGCTACAGCAGTATCCAATTTACTTGGCCTACAAGGTGTAAAATTTGCATTGGTGTTGCAAGGGGGCTCGCTTATCTCCATGAGGAGGTTAGCCCTCATATTATTCACAGAGACATTAAAGCAAGCAATATTCTCCTTGATAAAGACCTCTCACCAAAAATTTCAGATTTTGGTCTTGCAAAGTTTATTGCACCTAACTTGACCCATCTTAGCACTCGTGTTGCTGGAACAACGTAAGTTTGCCATTTCCAATGCTAGTCTCTTTCAATAAGTTTATCCGAGAATGTAACTCATTGATGTCCCGCCCATAAATTTTCACCTCTCTCTCCCCCTCTCTCTCTACTTTCTCTTTTTTACATTTATCAAATTACTTGTAATCATATTGACATGTTTGGTTCCCTGTTTGATTTCTGCAGAGGCTACTTGGCGCCTGAGTATGCGATACGAAGTCAAGTGACAAGGAAATCAGACATCTACAGTTTTGGCATTTTACTGTTGGAAATTGTTTGTGGGAGGTGTAACACAAACAGACATTTACCACCCAAAGAACAATATCTTCTGGCACGGGTATGGACCTTTCTGTAATATTGCATTCCATGACTAAATTGAAGCTTTTGGACTGGTTTGTAGCTTTTCCTTGTTCAATAAATTAGAGTAATGCTAAATAAACGATCAACGATTTATAACAATAACATGCGCAGGGGTGATGAACCTTGATGAACCTGCCATACAAATTTTTGATCAAGTGAATGCTTGAAGCGCTAGTTTATAGCATGAGCATCAAACGTGTATTCCTTGCAACTTCGCATTTATTTTCAATTATTCCTCTAAACTTCTGCTTTTCTTGTTTAGATAGCTACGTGCCCCAGCTAGTCATCATCTCTTGTTGAAACATGTATTGAATAATAACTTTGCAATTACTACTAGAACCTTGAGCAGACTTATGAAATCCAAGTTCCTGTTGCAGGCGTGGGAACACCATCAGAAGGGGCAGCTGGTGGAGTTAGTAGATGCATCATTGAATAGAGACTTCGACGTTGAGGAGGCTTGCAGATTCCTAAAGATTGGCCTTCTCTGCATTCAAGATATGCCCAAGCTCCGACCATCCATGTCTACCGTCGTTCAAATGCTGACGGGTGCATTAGATGTGAATGAGGGGCAGATATCGAAACCAGGACTGCTTTCTGAATTTATGGAGCACAGAGAATGCGAGAGAGAAAAGGCCAAAGCAAGAAATCCATCTCACACGATATCCGACTCAGGGAGGTTTATCAATTCATCATCTTCATCAGAGACCGCCACCACATCATTTGCTACTATGACCTTCAATTCTATATATGACCGAAGCAATTAGGGCAGGCAGAATCCAGTTTTCGTATTCCCTCTGGTTTGGTCAGGCTGTAGGCATAATAATTCTTCTAGTTTGTTTAGGGAAACAAGTGAAAGAGCGACCCCAAGCCAACAAAGGCTTCCCGCTTTGCGAGGGTTGAAGTGAAACGTCTATCGTACACAACCTTACCCTTACCTTGCAAATAAGCTGTTTCCACAAATGTCTTCCAAAGAACTAGCCATACTTTTCAGGTGTAAAATGTTTGTAGTCAATCAAATTTCAGTTTTTTTGGTGTGTGAAGAAAGCTCGACTTTATATACAATTCTTTCATCCTTTTCTTCGAGTCCAGGTATTGTGTGGGCATTGCCCCATTGTCGTCCCAAAACAGTTTCTTTCGAATTGTCGTAGGCAAAATCCACATTATTTACTTATTTTTCAATGAATCATATGGGTCGAAATGTGATCAAGAAATAAAAACTGGTTGTCAAATTAAACACACGTCATCTTTTAACTGAGCTGTTCTAGCCTTCTGTCCTCTCCCGCAGCAGAAACATCCTCGCAAAAGCCTTCTCCCTCTCATGGCAGCATCTGTTTGTGAAAGAACTATTTTTCTGGATAATGTTTTGTTATGGATAATGTACTATCCATGAACATTGAAACGGGATCAAAAGTAGAACTTTCGGAGTGGACTCGGCGTGAATCAACATGTTTCAAAGGCATGCGAAAACTCGAAACATCAATCAAATCGAAACTGGATGTTATGGTTAATATTTCATGAAAGCTGAACATTTTCGTGCGAAGACGATACTATAGTTTGATCATCCTCAAAGAATTATTCAAAAGAATTTGAAACAGAAACACCACAAGTGATTGTTTATCTTTTGTGTAAGTATATATAGCCAGCTAGTTTCTATTTCTGCAGCATCTGCACCACAGAATGAGAAAGCAAAGCACTCTATAACCAATTACGAAACCCAGCATCACACCTAAATTGCTCCATTTCTGTGCATCTTTCAAACCCTGCTGTCTCAAGAATCCGTCCCCGAAAAGATTGCATCCTTCCTTGTCAATCTCTTGAATGCATCTCCTTCCCTGCTCTCCTCCATACTCATTTATCATAAAGCACTCGAACGGGTACTTGAAAAGAGACAAGTAGTGCATGAACATCCAGTAGCGTGGGAGTCTGTCCTTCGAAATGAAGTAGCCCGAAAAGAGAAAGAAAGCTCCCATGAGCCCAGAAATCAGGGAACTGCCCATGATGAAGTTCGGCACGAGAGCACTGAAGCAGGCCACAACAGAATTGGACATCAGAAGAACCATCCAGACCACCAGAGAGAAGTAGAGGAATCCATCAATGTCCCTCCTCAATCCGACTAGCCAGTAAACCGGTGCGGTGAACAAAAAACAGACCATCAAAAGGAAGGGGAGAAAAATGAGGGTGTTTGCTATGACATAGGAGGAAACTCTATAGGCTCCCCTGGAAGTCTCACTCATTAGTATTCTTCGCTCTTGTAAGAAAATCGGTAGGCCTTCTGTGGTGGAAGACAGCAAGAAAGTGAGGCTGAAGGCGAAAAATCCAGTTTGTGTTTGCAAGGCAATGCTCCCTTTTTCCCTTCCATCATTAAAGAAAATGCTTCCGAGTACGAATCCAGCTACCAAGGCTTGTATGACTCTTGTGACAAACAATTGATTGGTTCTAAATATGTTGCTACAAAATCTTTGCCCTAGTACAACAACTTCCCGGGGACGAGAATTCGGGTAGACTAGAAGCTTCTTTTCCAAGTTATTAGAGCATACAAACCTTTGTTCCAGAGGCCTGAAACATTGGTTGTGCAAGGCTTCTGTAGTTTGTGTACCCTCCAAGCTCTCGATAACATCAATGGCGAATTCGAGCAAGTTGACATGGTTGGGGATACGATGGCCAGCAAAATTGAGCCTTTGTTTGAGAAGATGTAGTGATCCATTGTGCATGACAGCTCCATTCGAAAGCAAAACAATGCGATCGAACATCTCTAGGATTCGAAAACCTGGTTGGTGAATGGTCAGAACGATAGTTTTACCCTGATTGAACACCATTGTTTTGAGCAATGAGACTACATGGAAAGCTGAGGCAGAATCCAACCCTGAAGTTGGTTCATCAATCAAAACCACAGCTGGATCATGAACTAAATCAACTCCAATCGAAACCCTGCGCCTTTCACCACCTGAAATCCCATTGTTTGATCCCCAACCGATTCTTGAACCCGCGACATGTTCCAGCCCGAGCTCCTTCATCAGCTTCCTCACTTTATCTGCAGCCTCTTTTCTCCCACCAGGAAGCCTCAATAGAGCACTGTACACAAGCGTTTCTTCAACTGTAAGTAACGGAAATAGAGCATCATCCTGTGTGACATAGCCCGACATTCTGCGGAAACTTTTCGTGTCCATAGGCTGATCATTCACCAGCACCTGGCCACCCATTTTCTTTGGGGATATCTTCCCAGCAAGAATATCTAGCAGTGTGGTTTTTCCAGCCCCACTAGGGCCAGCAATTGCAGTGATCTCTGCAGGCCTTGCTTCACAACTCACATCCTTCAAGATGAACTTCGGAACAGTCCTCGAACTGTCACTGCAACACAGGTGCTTCATTTCATAAAATCGGGTCGATAGTTTGTAGTACAAGTTTCTGGTTTCAATTCTGTGTGGTGTTATATGGCTGCCGGAAACTGGCATTTTCACAGGCAACTCCATATTGCGGGGAGGAGTGGAAGTGAGAGAGAAAATGGGATATTTGTGGGATAGTGTGTATGAAATAGAGGAGATGAGCTAACACACCAAACTGTGTGTTTGCTGTACAAGTTAGGGTTCGTAGAGGAGAAGCCAAAGCTTTGATATTTTCACTTTCTAGTTTTCTTGTTGGCAAACATAAATTTCGGCGTAACTTTTATGTGTACTTGGAACACAGTCACGTAACATTACTATTTCATTTAAATGATAACTAGTTGATTCGTCGTTTACGCTTATTACAACATATAAAATAATACATCACGTGACTTGTGTTTCAGGTACGCATATAAATTTCTCGTAACTTTGCCGGAGGGTTTGGTGAAAACCCAAAAGAAGAAAATCCATGACTCCTTTTGGGAAGTTCATTCAGGTGAGCAGAATATTGACTGTGTAGGGCTGATGTTGGTTGCTTCACTATCTGCCCCACTCTAACTCATCACCGTGTCATGCCAGTTTGGTGGGAATTTTTCAATATTTGACCAATTAGTCAATTACATCTAATTGACATTGAGTGTGAGCCAAGCCCATCTTGGTTATCGGCTTGCCAAAGTAAGAAGGAAGAGGCTTACAGTCGGGAAAGTGATTTTCACACGAAATTTTAAACTCGTCACACATCTTTTTTTATTATTTATGATTATTGGAATCATAATTAAACATAATCATGTAAGAAGTTAAACATGATGATTATGTAGAATCACTTTTAGTTTAAGTGATTTCTTAAGAAAGTACATCAGAGGTGCTTCATTAGTCTTTACGAAAGATATTTTTTTCTGAGAAAAAGATATCGCTTAAAACCTTTAATAATGTTTTTAAATTACTAAATCACTTCAATCGAAAGACAAAGAATCTCAAAGATTAACAGAGAGCTAGATTGTACTTAAATATCGAGAAGTCTGTACCTTTGTAAAATTGCATGGTCATCCAATTGATTTGATTGTTACCTTCAAATTTTTCTCCTAGCACGTTTAGAAAATGAAAAACAGATAGCACTTTACTGCAGTGGTGGAAAAAAATCATACTCATACATTACAGGGCGATTTCGATCCCCACCGACATCCCTCTCTTTCAACTAATAATTTAATTCAATAAAGTTGTCGTTCGTTAAAAAAAAAAAAATGAAAAAAAAAAAATTTAAAAGCACAAATAACTGCAAAAGATAAGAAGATAATTGGAATGCCATTTTGAGATATACTGATAAATTGACAATCGAGGGGTATTTATCATCACTCAGTCACTGCTATAAAACCTCCGCCAAAACCCTAACACTGCCCTTATCTCCCACTGAGGGTTTATCAGAGCCCCAAACCCTCGTCGCGATCAACCATGGCGACCCATTTCTTCTCTCGCTCGATTCCCAAGTCCCAAGCCGTGGCTTCATTTCTCTCTCGCTCCCTCTCCACCGCCACCTCCGCCACTTCCCTATCCACCACCGCCGCCCAATCTCGCTCTTCTTCGCTTTCTCTCCTCCACCGCCTCCGCCCTCTCGCTGGAGTCATGGCTTCCGCCGGAAGGCTCTCCCCTGCAATCGTCCGGTGCTTGTCGACCAGATCGACGACGTCGTCGCTCAGGGACCCGAACCCTAACTGGTCGAACCGGCCTCCCAAGGAGACGATCCTCCTCGATGGGTGTGACTTCGAGCACTGGTTGGTTGTCATGGAGGCCCCTCAGGGTGATATCACTAGGGATGAGATCATCAATAGCTACATCAAAACCCTGGCTACCGTCGTCGGAAGGTAACACCTACTATTAATTTCTGTCTGATTTAATCATTTTTCTTACTTTTAATGTCTTTGGATTATGAGAAATCAGAATTGGAAATGGAATTTTAGAATTTATATGTCTGTGTTTATAGTGTATTTGTATCTTTAATTCATTTTCAATTTATATCTGTATTTGTTTTTTCAAAGTTGTTGCTTTTTAATTTTCTCTTTTTCGCTCTTGATTACAGTAGTGTTTTGGGTTAAGTTGATTTGAATTGCTCCAGGAAACTTTTGTTTGAGAAAATACAAGAGGTGGTTTCTCTATTGGGGGAGGGTTGTATGCTCATGCTACTTTCTGGCATTTATCTTGTTGTAGGATATTAGTTTATTTGTGTTATACACCGACTCGATTATGGTGTATAACATAATATATGAACATTTTCTTAATACCGTTAATGGCTTTCTGTTGTATGCAGCTGTAAAAGTTAATGGCTTTCTGTTGTAAGACAGGAAATGATTTTGTAATTGCAATTGGCCTTTATATCATTTTTGTAGGGTTTTTGACTTGATTTTTTTATATCACATAAATGTGTGTGTTGCGCTAAATTTCTTTTGTTTCTGTATATTTCCGCCTAATTTGGGGGTGCAATTCTTAATGTTGGGTTATATGTTTTGAAGTTCTAACAAAAGCAAAACTCATTAACTTTTTTGTAGGCTTTTGATATTCAAAATCTAAACTATAAACCCACTTTGTGGCAGGGTCTTAATGATCTCTTAAATAGTATGGTCTTAATCATGTTTCTTATAGCATGGTCTTGATCACTTTTTTTTTTTTACAGACTAAAGTTTTTGTAAGATTCATGGCTTTCACATTTCAAAAAGCACATAGGATTGTACTGTATTCCTTTTGTTTGTGTTTCCTGTGATTTATATTTTGTAATGAAGATTTATATAACCAAGTTTACATTGCTTGTACGCATTCGGCTGAACTGCAGTGAGGAAGAAGCAAGAATGAAGATCTACTCAGTTTCAACTAGGTGCTATTATGCGTTTGGGGCGCTTGTATCTGAAGAGGTTTCACTCAAAATCAAAGGTGATTCTGCTTCTAAGTTGGGATTTTATTATTTTCTTGTGTCTGAGTTCTCATATATATATGTGTGTGTGTATTTGTAAAATTCTTGCAGAGTTGCCTGGAGTCCGTTGGGTACTTCCCGATTCCTACTTGGATGTTAAGAATAAAGATTATGGAGGTACAGATATGCTTGTTTCTTCAAGTTGAATTTCAATGAAAACAAATTATTTATAGCAATTGATTCATTAAAGTCATAAGTTCCATTCCGTAATTGCTCTGGCAGTCTGATGATATTTTGATTTTAGATTTATTTCTTTATATTTTCTGACAAAGGATAGTTTGAGGCTCTAGAATGTTACAGATGAAAGTTATTAGGCAGTTGATGTTGTAGCAGGGCTAGTGGTGTGTAGAACCGGTGAAATATAAAGACCACTGTTGAAGGCTTTCTGCAACCCTAGTCATTTTGTACAGAGTTTTTGTGTAAAATATCAGAATTTTGAACTAACTAGTTTCGCGTGTCGATTACATCCGAAAAAAATGATCCACGGTAATTTTCATTTCAAAATTTCTGTACTCCCATGAATTGTGGTCTGGGTACCAAGTGTTATAGTAATATTAAACAGCATGTGTTTTTTCTACATTGTATAGCTTTTTCTATGTTGTTTTCAACTAAGTTAACCAGGAAAATTCTTTTATCCACGATTTGTTTGCTTTCTTGTTTGTTTTGGCAGGTGAACCTTTTATTAATGGCCAAGCAGTGCCATATGATCCCAAGTACCATGAGGAATGGATAAGAAACAATAGTCGAGCAAATGAGAGAAACAGGCGTAATGACAGACCTCGTAACTTTGACAGATCAAGGAACTTTGAAAGGAGAAGGGAAAATATGCAGAATCGTGATTTTCAGAATACGGGTCCATCTCCTATGCCTAATCAAGCTGGGCCAAATTCGGGACCTGGACCTGCCAACATGGGTCCTCCACCCCCCAACAGGGGTCCAATGTCTCCCAACATGGGTCCTCCACCCCCCAACAGGGCTCCAATGTCTCCCAACATGGGTCCTCCACCCCCGAACAGGGCTCCAATGCCACCTCCCAACATGGGTCAACCAAACAACTACAATAATCCCCAGCCAAGCAACAACTGGAATTCTGGGCCACCAAACAGCTATAATCAGGCGCCTCCCAACAGCTACAATCAGATGCCGCCCAACAACTACAATCAGATGCCTCCCAATAACCCGGGAGGGGTGCCACCAAACAACATGGCTCCGCCTTCTAATGCAGGATGGAATGACCCTGGACAATACCAGAATAACTACACGCCAGACAGGGATGCTGGAGTCAATCCTGGTCCAAACCGTTACTAAGCTTGAGGCTAGTTGCAGTATGATGAATCTTGGAAGGCATGTTGTAGATAAACGAGGAGGTTGCTCGAGATGGGCTGTAGGTTTCAATGTTTCTGGTCTTGAATGATATTTCGTTTGGCAGATTGCTGTGGTCAGATCGTGGTTGCCTTTCATCCGAATATGATTACACTTTCAAGGTCATATCTTATGCGATTAGTCGTATCTTTACGTTGGTGCGCAGCATGAGTTCTTTCAGGTAGTGCACATATTGACAGAAAGCAGACTGCATGGGGATCCTTGTTAAATGGAACATGTTAATTTGCAGTACTCTCTGAAGATTATGTGTTGCTATTCGTTCGTAGATTGTTTTTGCATATTTTGGGGGTGATGTTATTTTGCTAGAAAAATGACATGTTACATTGTCAATTTGGTAACCCGAGTCTCAGTTTGGCCCCTGAATCAAAATTTTGACTTCTTTTGGCTATGTTTGGGGTGAGGGATTTCCAAGTCTCAAGGAATCGAGACCAAGTTAGAGGGGATTGGAAATGTGGGAGGGATATGAGAGGGATTTTTAAATTACGATTTACGAGTCATTTACAAAGCAGTAACTTCGATAGCGTAGGGACGTTTATTATAAAATAAAATACATGACAGAGTATTCGAAACCCCCAAATGTAACCGAGAAAAAACAAAGAACTCTATTTAGCTAAGCCATCGTTTCATCCTATCCATGCGCAATGCTAACATGACATAGAGCCTATCCTGTACATTGTCTGTGAACTGAAAGTACGCATACCTCCATGTCTTCTTTACGATCAAAGAACCACATACTCCCCAGAATCCAAAAATAAACCCGAACACAGCCGAAATATAGAACCACGGAAGTTGATGCCCATCGTCCTCATCATCGGGGTTATTCTTACCATGCGCATCAGTGCGACACTCGTTTGGAAGTGGGGCACCGCAAAGTTTTGGATTCCCCTCAAATGCAGAAGCTTCAAAGCTTTGGAGCTGAGTGCTTGTTGGGATTGGACCTTCGAGATTATTGTACGAGACATCAAAGCTATTCAAGAAATTGAGGCTCGCCAGAGACGATGGGATTTTTCCGGACAAGTGATTATTGGAGAGATTCAAATCTTCTAAGTTCTTAAGGTTAGACATTTGGTCTGGAATGTTGCCGGAGAAGTTGTTGTTGTCTAGATGCAACACTTGGAGAAGCTGCAGTTGGCCGATCTCAGACGGTATATTACCAGTAATGTTGTTGAAAGAAAGATCTATCAATGAAGAAAAGCCCAATATGCGGCGTACCCGGCCATTGTTCATCATGTAGATTGGCAATTCGAGTTCATATTGGTCTGCTTGAGCTGCAATAAGTTCATGTACCAACGCCGGTAGTCTACAAAGCTCCTTCGGAAATTCACCTGAAATAAGGTTCATTGCCAAGTTCATAGAAAAAAGCCTTGGTAGATCAGTCCCCAACCAGCTAGGAATTGACCCTGTGATTTTGTTACCTGCCAGATCCAAGATCTCAAGACTCTTTAGCTTTGCTAACCATACAGGTAGTCGACCGGTGAGATCACAAAATGGCAAGCTCAAAATTCGAAGATTTCGGAATCCATCAAAACCAACCATGTCGTCGTCAGATGGCATTCCTTCACCGTTAAAGTTATCCATAAGGAGGAGTATTTGAAGACTTTTGCAATGCATCAATATCTTCATTGCTCCTGTGACATTTTCCAATCGGAGGCTACCAAGAGAGAGGAAGGACAGAGAGTTTAGCGAAAGAATCTCAGGTTGTATTTGTCCCTCTAGATTGTTCGAAGCTAATCGAATTGCTTTCAGGGATCTACATGAGTAAAGGCTTGTTGGCAACTTACCAGTGAAGTTGTTCCTATACAGGTCAAGTTTAGTAAGTTGAACAAGTTTGGAGAAATTAAGCTTGGTAATGTCTCCTTCCAAGTTATTTTTTGCCAAACGTAGTTCTACAAGGCTGCTGCAATTCATCAAAGATTGGGGCAACGAACCTTGTAGGTCGTTGAAATCGAGCTTTATGATTTTTAACCTGGAGAGCTTCCCCAAACGGAGAGGGAGTACTCCGCTCAGTTGATTGAAGGAGAGATCAAGGATTACGAGGTTGTTGAGGTTGACAATTCTCTCACTAATGCCTCCATATAGTGAATTCAGAGGTACTGCAATTTCTTCGAGTTTGGTAGCATTATAGATATCTTCTGGAAGTAGCCCTGAGAGATTATTGTGACTAGCACGGAAGATCTGCAGCTCGGAACACCTCCCAAAACCACGTAAAATGTTGCCATTAAATTGGTTTGAGGAAAAATCCAACACTCTAATCAAGGGGTTAGAATGGAGACATATAGAGGATGGGATGTAGCTGGAGAAGACATTGTTGCTGACGTTGAAACTTGTCAAATTCCAAGCAAGCATGAAGAACGAAGACGGAATTGGACCATGGAAGCGATTGCTTGACAAATCGAGTGTCCGGATGTTTCTAGATGTTAGAGACAAAGGTAGCACTCCAAAAAGAAGGTTATAGCTCAAATCAAGAATCTCAAGAGAATCCAAGGACTCAAAGAGTTTATTTTCAAGTGAACCGTGAAGTGAATTATGGGAGAGATTCAAGTGGGTGAGATGAGTGAGGTTTCCAAGTGAGGATGACGAGGTAAAAATAACTCCGTGTAGCCCCTTCGAGGGTAAGAGCAAATGGGTGACCCGACCTTCCGGATTACAAGTGATGCCTTCCCAAGTACAGCAGTTAATGGAAGTCCAATTTAAAGGAGGAGAGGATAGAGTGAGGTTGAAGGACAAGAGAGCGCTACGTTCATTTTGGTTGCATGCATGGATATTTGTAGATATAATGGACGTGAACAAGAGGATTATGAGAAGGAAGCCATGAGCCATTGTGTTAGAAGGCTTGCTGCAGCTCAATGCTTTTCTCTCTTCGTATATATAATAGGATCTCGAGTGTCTGCAATTAGAAATTAAGCTTCATTAGATGGAAAAGCAGCTTTGGCAACATTAGAAAACAACCATAATTGCACATTAGAAGTCGAGGGGTACTCCAATAACCCAACTGAGAATTTGGCAAACAAGCATAATCACACAATGCAATTTTCCCAACCCCTTCAAGGCCTCGAATAGAGATTTTCCACTAAAGAAACCACTAACGACGACCTTCGCTCATTGGATCTACTAAAGAGAATTCAAGATTGGGGAGATGATAGCAACAAAGATAATAAGCTTAGTTAGGCCCGAATCACATGGAAAGTTTAATAAAAAAAAAAAAAAAATGCGAAGTGCTTTTTCCTGGAAAGCACTTTAGTTGCTTCACGTGCTTCTTTCTAAAAGCACATCACGTAGTGCCTCTTTCTTTCTTTCTTTTTTTTTTTTTTTGTTTGTTTTTAACTCACAGTTGTGGTTAGCTTTTTTTGTCAAACGTTGTTAAAAACTCTTTTGGTGATCTTAAATCACTTTTAGTTACTTTAAAAAAGTTGTCAAACATGCCTAGTCTTGTGAAGCCCCAACTCCAAATTAAGAATAGAGAACTAGTGAGTGTTCTTTATCTCAAAAATTAAGACGCATATTTGACCTAGCAAAATGCCATTATTTAAATGATCATGTGTCATATAGAAGCAGTGAGTTGTTGTTCATCTTGCCGTGTATTAGAGGTTCAAGTTATTTTCCTGGTGAAATGATTTTTCTTGAAAGATTGGGCGTTTCTCATTTTTTCCACCACTGAGTTTTATATTTGACCTATCATACTTGCAGTATACATTAAGATGCCGTTTTTAAGCCGCAATAGTCATTGACTGTAATTAAAATTGACCCTAGGGATGGGCAAGTGGTACCATAAATAAAGTTGGGGTTCCACTGTAAAACAACTGGCAATATAAAGAGTAGCCTAACCTCTTACAGTCCTTGCATGGTTTGGTGACATTGTCCTCACATTCTCACATGAAGAAAGTTGGGGGTTCCATTGTAAAACCAATTGGCAATATGTGAAATAGCCCAATTCCTTATATGTCCTTTCATCGTAAAACCAACTGTTTTGTAGTTTCTTGTTTTTGGCTTTTTTTCACCCAAAACTGTGAAAAAAAGATGAAGCTAAATGTTTACCAAACACAAAAAAAGGTCCCAGCTTTTTTTGATACCAGTTTTTTTTTAAAATCACCTCAGTACCAAACCAGGCCTTAGTTACTTTAAAAAAGTTGTCAAACACGCCTAGTCTTGCGAAGCCCCAACTCGAAATTAAGAATAGAGAACTAGTGAGTGTTCTTTATCTCAAAAATTAAGACGCATATTTGACCTAGCAAAATGCCATTATTTAAATGATCATGTATCATATAGAAGAAGTGAGTGTTGTTCATCTCGCCGTGTATTAGAGGTTCAAGTTATTTTCCTTGTGAAATGATTTTTCTTGAAAGATTGGGCGTTTCTCATTTTTTGCACCACTGAGTTTTATATCTAACCTATCATACTTGCAGTATCCATTAAGATGCCGTTTTTAAGCCGCAATAGTCATTGACTGTAATTAAAATTGACCTTAGGGATGGGCAAGTGGTACCATAAATAAAGTTGGGGTTCCAGTGTAAAACAATTGGCAATATAAAGAGTAGCCCAACCTCTTACAGTCCTTGCATGGTTTGGTGACATTGTCCTCACATTCTCACATGAAGAAAGTTGGGGGTTCCATCGTAAAACCAATTGGAAATATGTGAAATAGCCCAATTCCTTATACGTCATTGCATGGTTTGGTCCCTCACTGATGTGAAACTTTGTCGTCACATTCTCACATGCCTCCTCACCTGTGGCAAATGTTCAAGCTTAATACATGGTCCCTCACCGATAAGGAACTTTGTCATCACATTCTCACATGCCTTCTCACGTGTGACAAATTTTCAAGTCTAAGACATGGACAACATAAATTAGGTGATGTGGAGCACGTATGAAAGTTGAGGTTCCACCATAAAGCTAATTGGCAATATGGGGAATAGTCTACCCTCTTATTAACCCTTGCTTGGTTTGGCCTCTCACCAATGTGGGATTTTGTTCTCACATTTTCACAGTACGATGGTACTGCCGCGACCATCGCTACCACTACCACACCACGACTGCACCACACCGCCAATGTAACCCAGTTCAAGATGGCAAATTTTGAGGAAGGTTCCTTCTGAAGATTTGTTGGGGATATCTCAGGCTTTCAAAAGAGACTTTTTGGGACCAAATTAGAGTTGATTTGGTTTGCCGTGTCTATGTTTCTGTGAAGTCCGAATTTGGCTTTAATTAGGAAACCTTTCATTTGCTAGTTTATTATTTTTTTTATGTTTCCTACTTTTATTCTAAGACATTTTCTAGTTAGGTTTTTGTCTTGTGGTAGTATAAATAAGGCTATTTGGCTATTAGTAGAGAGGATCAATTT